TAAAGAATTCAACCAATCAACATGTCTTAGTGCGCTCTTATCGCATCTTAATCCACAATGAAGAAGCCGAACGACTTGGCCGCTTCGTTGTTCCAACCGGGAACCTTGAAACCCATCACGGGAACGACCACTCTTAAAGTGAAAATCATGCCAAACCCATTTCAAAATTCGACTGTATCATTTTTCAGATTAAACCCGCCGATACAAGTGAACACCGATTCAAAACACAGATGTAACACTTCACTAATGCACGATCATCAACATCATTCTTAATCTTGTCCTCGTTCTAATTCGCAATACTCAAACAAAAAATGTACTAAGTTAAAGAGGGATCGAGTTGTGTTCTAGATGATGTCGGTGTGGCTCGTTTTCTTTTCCTTGCTTCTTTTTTTGCCGCACTTGAACCCCAGTTGCTCAAGCCATCATGCAGCGAATCGATCCATTCTAATGGTTGTATAGCTGGAACCTTCAAACTCGAAACTTTCCTGTGAGACACTTGAGCAGAAAGCGATGCCGCGTTGATCACGTAGTTTTCGTCGTCATTGTGCGTTGCCTCCCAGCCCTTGACAGAACTCTTCCTCCGCTCCAAAAAAACCGCTTTGGTTGGAGTAATCTGACAGTCGCCTCGGTCACAATTGTGCTGGCAATTCAAACCAGACTCAATGCACTAAAAAAACTCTGTCAGATATTTCTCAAGCAAAAAGGTCAGAAATAACCTCTAGCTCACATGTGAGTTCACCAAAGTGGTTTGTGTAGTTTTTCTGATCTGCCGCATGCTGTAAAAAGTGCTTTCCTCTGTGACTTGAAAAAGGGTGGTATCTATGAAAAATTGGGTTTGAAGAGAGGCTTTTTTGATCATCCAGAGGGATTTGATACGTCCAACATTTTGAGATCCACCTGGTTGACTGTTGAACTAAGAAATGGTCAAGCACATATGAGTATTGTAAAACCATTAAAAATAACCTAGATCAAGAAAAAAAGGAGAAGTACCAGTATGAAATAATTTTTCTTGAGGACTTGCTTTTCATTCAGGTTTAATTCAGATATTTGTTGGATCTCATGGCCAGAATATGATAACTTCAAGTCTTGGGGAATCTCTAATTTTTGAAGTTTTGCTACTGGTAATTTTTGAACAGAAGGATATTGAATATTTGATAAAATACTAGAGCCAAAGCTCCTCTGAATTAGGGGATTGTATTTAAAGACGTTTGTAACTGGGTTGGAAGCTTTTACATATTTATTTTGTTTTTTATCAAAAAAGAATCCACCAGAGAGAATTTGGCGGAAAGAGTGGTAGTTGCTGAATGTGATAGCTATATCTTGGCCAGGGCTGTGACGGTTGGAGTGAATTGAAGCATTTCTAAGAACACCATTATAACTCTCAAATTTTTCTGTGGCAAAAAGACTGGCAGGACCATATCGGAGAATAGAATCTGGAAGATGAAGTAACATATGGAATTTAGGTTTATTAACCCATTGTCCAGAATCTTGGATAATTTGCTTTAAGAATACATCGATAAGATTTCTCAAATCAGCAATATAAGCTGCCATGTTATCAATACGTGTTTGAAAGATTAAAGAGCCAAGATGGCAGAGAGAGGACCAGATTTTGATGCGGGAGGGAGTCATAAACTGGAAAAAAATGAAGGGAGCTGCTTGAAGGATGATTCTAAAATCTTTACCAATCAGACTTGAAGAGTATTGTACCATACTAGTGGGTCTAATTGAGGGGATATTCAGAGAGCTGGTGTTGAAGGAGGACCATAAAGCTTCAAGCTCTTTTTTTTGTTCTTCATCCAATCCACTCATGAAGTCTGCAAATAGGTATTTGACAATTCCAAGCAAGAAGACATGTAAAATTTCAACCGGGGTATCCTTGACCATATCAAAACCTAAGGGGAAATAGGCAGGAATTAGAATAAAAATAAAGACAAAAATGTGAAAAGAAAACTTGAATTAACAACACATGCCTTTCAATTTCAGAAAAGGGCTGAGCATTTGAGATTCATCCTTGGACTCCAAATCCATCACGCCTTGCGGAATAGCTTGCTCCATATCCTCTGGTAATTCTCGTCCATCTTTGAGTAAAGCCTTCTTTTTTTCTCTGAACGCAATGATTTCCTTGGCAAACTTGCGGTTTCTCTGATCTCGAATTCCAAACTCAGCTGATTTTTCATCGAGCTTCTCCTTGTTAATAGTGCGTGCGTTTTCTTTGACGTATCTCCAAACTTCTTTACTATCTTGGATCGTTTTCTCTGTGGATCTCAAATGATTTGGTTGCTTTTTTAAGAAAAAAAACAGCAGATGTTCAGGAAAGAAGACTTGCAGTTGCTGCTTTACAAAAGAAGAAATTTAAATACATTTGATCCATGTGTGTTTTTATTTACAAACTTTGAAAGGAAACTCAATGTCTTCTTGTCTTGTAAACTTTTTGAACTGAGGACGCAAACTCGACAGGGATTCAGGGAAGTTCCTGGGACAGGAGTGTTGGTGAGTTCGGCGTGCATTGGAGAATCGGCCAATAAGCATAACATTGGAGTCATAACAAGAACAGTTTGAGACAGCATCATGTCATATGCCTCATAGCCTGTGTTCATCATCTCACTTGATTAATAAAAAATCATTCAAAATTCAGTTCTCAAACAGAAAAAACATATATTATTGGGATAGAGAAAAAGAAAAAATGGTTATACTTCAACTGCTGAACAACAATCTCTCCAAGGTCCAATGCGCCAGCAATATTTGATGTGCATAGAAAATGGCAATTGAACTGTTGATTTGATATCTTTGGAGGTAATCCCGAGAGCGTGAAGTAATACGAGATATGCTTGTTCCACTTCTTTGACTTGTTTCCAGAAGTATCATCACAATACATGTTTACTGGTACGTGTCGAATTATCCTCCCGTTGGCCTTTGTTCTCCAAGGATTGGGTAGCTTGATTGTGTCTTCACTATCTTGTTCTGTTGAAGAATCAAAATACATTTTAGTAAGATAAATTTTCTTGTTTGAGAATGATAAAGCTTATTGCTCACTGAAAAGCACATCTCCACAGATTTTGGATAATCTCAAGCCATCACTTGAAACAATTTCAGAATAGAGGAGATCAAAATCATCCAATGGTACTGTTTGTAAACAAGGATCATCATATGTGAGATTTGTGGCAATGGGTATCTTCTTTGATTTAATTTTGGGCTTGTAACATTTTGAAAGAGTTTTAGATCCAAGCATGTAGAAGAAAATGGGAATGACAATCTCATCGTTTTTTAGTTGGACTGGCTCGTAAATGTAGTAGTGCTTCAAATTATAAAACACCATTTGGACGCGGAGATCTGGATCGAGATGCTTCAGCCACTTGGCAGATTGTGAAGTCTTGAATACACATTCTCCTTGTGCATCTTCCGGGAGGAAATCCAAGTGAGGTGCAACCAAGGGATTCATTAAATCCTGCCAACAGAATGCCAACAGAATTTTGAAGGTCAGACGTGTACCAAGGTTTCTCTCGAGGTTGCAGGAAAATTATTTAAATAAGTACTCACATCGCCAATTATCTGCCTAGCATCCAGCGCAAACATTGGTTTGCCAAATACCGATTCCTTTTCCACAAGAGAGTGATGACTCATTAGCCTTATTTTCTGTCGGGTCGTCCTCAACGCCTCCCAACCGGGCAAATTAACCTTGCATAACGTGAATATGCTCCGGATCTGATGGTACAGGTCTCGAGAGATGAGCTTGTGCAAGTATCCAACGATTAACGATCCAATAAGGTACTAAAAACATGATGTTAGTAATCTTGTTTCAAATTTTCTTGTCAATAAAATTGCTCTGCTGACGTACTTCCTTGTTTAAAAATGGGAACCATTGTGAATCAAGATCCATCACCTCCTCAATTTGGGCGACTTCATGACGAAAAGCGGGTACAAGTTGTCCCCCAAGGTTGTCGGCCGGTTCATCGTCAATCTGATCAATTGCGGTACCAAGTAAGTTCATCCAGTTTTGTTCTTCTTCCTCGTGTTCGCTTTCTCCATCTTCAAATAGGTCGATCGGTACAACAACATTTTCATCGATGGGTTCGGTTTCGCTGCCTGAAGGTTCGACTTCTTCATTTGGTAAAGTATCTTGATCGACTAGTGGGCCGATCTCAATTCGCGGTAGGTTCGACTCTCCTTTGTCTAGAGCTTCGTTTGCAGAAATCCTCTCCCTTTGTCTCTCGTGTCGTTCTTCATCCAACCGAACGAGGTTTTGATGGCGTTGTCCACGAGCATGCTTCTTTTGATTTGTGGTGGTCTTTCCGCCACAGAGGATGCAGCTGAAGTGGTTCGCTCCCTCCTCAAAGAAATCTATTGAAACTAGTCAGTATTCCCATCTATATTCACATCTATTTTCTTCTGCACTCACATTTGTCTGGTACCATTTTTTTGATTGATTGAAGCCAGCGGATTGATTCGATTTCGATTGCCAGCCTGGTGCTGTGATTTAGGGATTGACTGTTGAGTTTTAAAGTTCAACGGTCATGGTTTCTTTTTATTTTAACCTTTTCTGACATCAACTTGGAACAGTTTAAAAGGCCGCGTCATCGACCGAGCCTTTGTCCAACAACACCTGTCCTTCCCCATCTTACATTTCCTCACCATGGATTTCGACGATCCCATGTTCGGAGGCGATGGCGATCCAACTGCCGATTATCATCCAGATGAAGAAGATGAACCTCCTCCCCATTCCTCTCCTTGTCCCGGCTCTCCTCGTCACTCCTCTCTTGAATATTCACATGCCGAATCCCTCAAGCGCGGTCGACAGACGTTTGAAGAGTCAGATGACGAAGAAGACACCCTACGCAACATCGATAATCAATCCAAGTTTTCTCGTTCGCAGCCTTCAACCTCGATTAACATGGATAAAGGTGTGCTCGGCGTTGAAATCCTCTTATCATCTCGATGAAGAACACGATAAGATTGCTCGCAAAGCAAGCATGGTAATGTCGCACTCCATCATTCACATTGATTATGTCCGACTCCTCTGTTGTTAACATGTGTCTATCTTTTCCAGTGCCCCACCCCTGAGAAGCATGCTAACATGGTGTATGC